CATGCCGCCCCTAAACTTGAATATTATCAAACAAATTTCTTATTAATTTAAGAACATCAAAGTAGAAAACCCGGGCAGATTCCCACTTTGCCTGACTGGTAATCCAGCTTTGGATCTGCTCAGTCGCCAGAAGAAAATGCTGGAGTTGTATATTTCTGCAAAACACAAATACATATGTTTCATACATATTAGCGTTTCTAAAGTGATGTAGCACGTGAGCCAACTTTGTCATCCAGAGGTAGAGGGATGGTGGATGTTTTGTCACCTGGGCCAGATGCAGACCACTTTTGAAGACCAACAAATCCAGGTGTTTTTTAGCAGCCTGTCACTGTGTTTCCAGCTGTGAATGTGCGATCAAAAGCAGGTATTTTAAGCCAAATTATAATCTTTTCCTGACCATAACCAAATATTCTCTGTGCCTAAATCTAACCACATGTTAACCTGTCTGCATTTTGCAGTTACATATAACGCCAACATTTATTCTGCTGATTGGATTGACCTCTGATCCCTCAGCCCAGTTCAGACCTACGATTCACAATGAGACGAGTTGAAACTTGCAACTACCCTGCCAAATCACACCAATGCAACAAGACAAGACGGTGTACCATCTCCACAGCAGTGACTCTCTGTACTTCCGTTATAATTTCTTTGCGGTATATTTTTGTAGCTGGATATATTTTGTAGCTTCTTAAAATATGAATGGGGATAGTGATAGTTAGATACTGGCTGCACTTGCATTTGTAGTTGTGATGAAACAATGAACACAAAGAAAACGAGAGATTACACTAGATTAGATTTCATTCTACAAGAAAACTTCAATCACTGTTGTTCATTGTTTGTACTGTGTGGTAGAATGGAGCACTGTAAATTTATCAATGAGATGTCCGTCCACAACAACTGCACTGTTTCTTTCATTATCAGTAAATCTGTCAGTTCAAGTTAAATTAATAACCGTCTAAACTAAAATCTCCAAACGGTTCATTTTGGCTGAGCAACAGGACAAAGCACCCAGAAGTCTTCATGTTACGATGGTATAAAGCAGCAAATTGTCACACTGCAGAAGCTACAACAGCAAACGTTTGGTGTCTTTGTGACTCAGACTCTTCACTTCCTTTGCAAAACTGGCGATAAACTTTCTGTTGATCAACTCGACTCATTTGTTCTGTTATTACATAACCTGTTCTGACATTATGTCCCACGCGCTCACTTTCTTTCCACCTCTCCTCTGTGTCCTTTGACAGTCATGGAATACCTTTTGAGAAATAACCATAAATAAGTCTCACTTTGTCACATGGCCCGACCATATGGTCTAAATCTGCACTACAAAGGCTCGCCGTGCACGTGACAATGGGACTCTACGAAGAGTCAGAACCATTCAGCTCAATCCTGTGGCTCAGGATGATACAGGCGGTTTTCACAGTCAGCTCAGCAGCTACAGGCCTAAGAATATGCCTGACCCACACACTTTGCTTGAAAAATGTTTTGGATTGCGCCTCTTGCCATAAGCCACATTATGTAAGTGCTAAGTGTGAGGTATCAAGAGGAGCTGGCACCATACCAGGATGGTGTGTGTGTGGCGTGTATATGTGTGTGTGTGGTTGTGGGTGCAGGTGTTGAAAATATCTTGTATGAATAGTTCCTCTGAGGATATAAACACACAGTGCAATAAATTAGCTGATGCAGTGATTATGTGTTGAGGAATGTTGAGGAGCTCTGATTGAGGCAGTGACAGAGGGCAGGAATGTAAGTGTCTGTTGATTGTGACAAAACTGGAATATTTCTAAGCACAGTATTTTGTTTCTTGATGTTTTTATTAATACTCACAACACTGCGAAGTACTGCAAAGTTACATTTTGGCTTTTTAATTTTTTCTGGGAGCAACAATATTCGTAACTTTTTTCCAAACATATGAGTTTTTACAGAAAACTCTCATGACCCCAAAAGTTCAGAAACTTTCTGTGGATTATAAACAAATGCTGACAAATCAACCTGGTCTCACTCCCAACTTGTCAACTACCAATGTTTGGTCAGTGGCCCTTGGAATCAGATACTAACATGCCCTTTAGCGGCGGTATGAGACACACTGGGCACAGCATTTTTTGGTGCCCCGAGCAACTGCTGTAGTATCAAGAGCAGGAGAGTTTGTACAGTGGACTGGAGGGGAGGTGGATGGGTCAGACAAGGTCCAACACATTCTCACTCCAATCTCGTCACATATTGACATTTTGGTCGTGGACTTTCAATGTCCACATACAACGTGCAAGGTGCCCTGGGTGCGTTGGTTGTTGACGTTGTGGGACATTGTGTCAACTTCTCTTCTTTCAAGATAAACTTTTGTTTTCACAGGAAATTTAACCTTAACATACAGTTTCTGTCAAAATAAAATAAATCAGTACAACACCGCGAATTAACGATTTTTTTTTTTCCTTCAACAACAAACACGTGATTGGGTTTAGGAAAAAAAGAACAGGGTTTGACTTTAGAATCTCACGGGATGCGAACACCGTTTTCCCAGGTGAAAGTCTGTGTTTGTTGGACCCATCCACCAGACTCCCCACCCGCCCCATTCGGATTTTCGCCGCCTTAACTTTTGTCCTTGTCCCGCCGCGTTTTCCCCTGATGCCAGTTAAACTGTAATGGTAAACGGCTGCGTATCATGTCGATGTTCAAGGACGCCTTTTTTCATTGGTTTCTGACGCCTTAAGCCACTGCCCAAACGCCAGATTTTGATGACTTCGGAGTGAGACCGCGCTCCAAGGTCAGACAAACTCCTGATTTTCACCCTGGAAGCCGCTGTTTGTTTCCTGAGTAAAATATAGAAGTAACGCACACCATGAATTATAACGAGGGCGCTGATCACTGTCAGTAGACTTGACTATAGAAAACAAGTGTTTCACTCTCCGGCTCCACATGTATTTCTTTTATTTTGATGTTTCAGCCTTTGGGCCTTTTTCAAAATCATGATCAACACTTGATCTTGAAGAGGCTGAAATGCATATGGAGCCAGAGTGTGCCATACTTATTTTTGGCATTCATGTTTCCTGTGTAAAAACAAGTCAGTCATCTTATTTTAATGACAATGTAGTGTGCTAGCATGTGTAGCATGCTATGCTAGTGTTGCATGTGACGATAACAAACTTATTTGAGCCAAACCATGATGTTGTTTTCTGAACTTGATCACATACTTTTGCTGACTCAACTTGAGGAAGTAAACCAGTATTCAGTATTCAGTATTATAATTGTACAAAATTAGTTTCAGTTGTTATTACCTGACACACTTAGGCCTCCATAGTCAATATGTGGCACGTTTGATACTCAGTTTCTGTACCCCTACATTCACCTTTGAAGGCACCCCACCTATAAAGTGGTGTGTCCCACCTTGCCTCCCCCCTTCTGCTGTTGTGCTCCATGTGAGAGGTAAGAGATATTGGTCTTGTAGTAATTTCTGTGTTTTAGTGCTGTTAAGCTGTTTTTAAGTTCATTCTTCAGCCTAAGCTTATTGTATTACACTTATTCTTGTGTCACTTAACTTGTGCAGGGGCTCGAGTTATATGGTCATAATTGACGAAGATTTTGTTTTACCGCTTGCTGTCAGAGTTGTCAGGAATAAATGGAGATCGCCTCTAAAGATATCCACGGTCTGGGCCTGTTTGCGCTAACGTAGTGTGTTTATTTTGAAAGAGAATGTATGTAAACATTAAATTTCCTGTGAAAACTGAAATGTGTCTTGAAGGGAGACAATGCATGTAACAGGCAGAACTTGACACGGCGTCCCAGAACATCAACAACCAACGCACCCAGGGTACCTTGCGCTTTGCATGTGGACGTGGATAGTCCATGACCACATGTCAATATGTGACGAGGTCGGAGTGAGAATGTGTTGGTTTATTCAATAAAAAACTCAATTACTTATCTTGAAACAACATCTCTTTCCTCACTAAAAAATCCAGAATCAATAAAGACGCAAACATATTACATTTCAGAAGTTTAACTGCTGGACACAATTAGTCTCTTACTCCCCTTTAAAGTCCACTCTCAGGCCTCCATTTTCCACAGATCACACTTGTGTAAGTTTCATATTTCAAATGACTTGTCCTGTTGCTGCTCAGATTTACTGTGTGGTGAGACACAGAGAAACTTGAATATGGAAACAGCCTTTAGTGTAAAATTCTGCAGGGTGAGGCTAAAACATCCAGTTGAAGTTGCAAAATTGACCGAGATGGGGTCTTTAAAATTTGTATGGACGTTTAATATCTGAAGAATGACATGTAAAGATTCAGGCAACAAAAAAATAACTTTGAAATCATAAAAATGATGGTGCTAGGAGGATAACTGCAGTGAAACAATACACTCTGGCTCCATATCATGTCACACCTGCTGTGGAAGGTGGTGATATTATCAATAAGACAACTGGAGAGCAGAAACAAAACAAGGAAACTGTTGATATGAGTGCAATGAAGACAGTCCAGAAAACAGAAGTAAACTCTGCAGCACTTTCAGAGATATATAAAATTGACTACTGCATCTTTTCAGACACTAATAAGGAGCCACATTATCCATCATGGTAAACCTCCCTTTGTCCTCAGCAGGCTGACCTGATGTCACATTAAATAAATAATTACAGTTATTATGAATGAGAAGGTGTTTGTAATGTTGTCGGATAGTATCCCTGAGTGTAGCACAAAGGTTGTGCAGGAGAAACATTACCGACCACATGGTGACTGGAATGTGCGCCATATTCGGCCAGCGTCCAGTATTTTACGCACGCGTCGTCATGCGTCATTTCTTTGGTCTCGGGGTCAACCAAGTGTTGAAAATGAATATTAAAATGAGGCATGATTAAATGTGCTGTGTGTCGCGAGGGTTGCATTTGTTGTGTTTGTCATCCCTCGGATATTTCTCCACATTTGTCAGGATCATTATTGGCTCCTCTCCCGTGACACCGGGAGTTGTTTTCATCACGACTGGATACAAATCACTGTCACACACAGGCTACATACCTTGGAAGACATCCACATCCCGGAGATCCTCTGAGCTCGGAGATAATCATAGTCCTCTTGAGAAAAAAAAGAAATTTTGTGCACGAAGTCCAGCGGACAGGAGAGGAAGTTGCTCGCAAGCTCCCCTCCGAGGAGTTTTCCACAACAGAGTCGTTTTTGCTATAGCTTTCCATCTGCGTCCGTGTAAAGGGATATTGTCATTTTGAGGTGGTTTAAATGAAACTGGGGAGACTGTTGTCGCCAAGGCTCCAAGCCTGTCCATACAAAACCTGGCGGGGCAAGTCATTTCTCCAGCCATTTTTTTTTTAACTCAGATGTTTCCTGTGCTTAGCTCTCATAGTGGGTCAACAACACAAGGCTTTTGTGTGGAAAAGCATATTTGTGTAGATGTCATAGAAATAATTCTAGCCCTGGTTTATTTGATGACTGCTAAATGCTGTGTCTTATCAATGAGCTCTTTGTTCATATTAAGTGTTGGAACAGTAACAAAAGTCTTTTATCTGTCTCAGGCTTTTCCTTTATTGGACTCCAATTTTTATTTTTTTTACTGGCAGCGCATGAAAGAGGTTATTAATATCATTAGGTTGCTCTCTTTGAGGAAGTTCCTCAAACATTCTTCAGCTAAGTGGCCAGAGGATGACTTAATTATTGCCATTTGCATGGCCTACAGTTTCTGTCTCTGAAATAAAAATCAGCCGAACCCAGCGCAAATTCTACATTAGTGCAAACAAATTTTTTTTTTAACTTTATTGCATAACAGCAAAACCATCGTCCCCACCTCCTCTCTGTTATTGACAGATGAAACTCATAAAGTGCGAATGCATAGCCTGTCATGTAGACTTTAAATTTGATGTCAGATTTGGAAGCCCGCACAGGTTAGACGAATTCATTAATAAACTCATTGATGATATTTTTACTTCTCTAAAAGTTGTGGGAGATACTAGTCTGAGATGGAGCAAATGAAACATTTCAACCTGCCAATTGGTGGCCTGTGAGTGTGTGTGTTTGTGCGTGTGTGTGGGGCTCTGTGGCGTGCGTAAAACTTGTGTCATGGGGACCACCTGCTCTTAGGCATACAGTGTCTTTATAGGGTGTATTCTTCTTTAGGGAAAAAAGAAAAAAGGGAAACTCTACTTGTAATCACACGTCAGTCTGAATGGATTTGGAGTTAGTACTGTTTTTCCTGCCTATGTCTGTGCCGTTTCCTTTACTGGGGCTCTTGTCCAGCCCGCAAAGCGACTCCGTCACCCCCTCCTCCATCTCCATATACTCCGCTTTGTCACCCAGAGAGGAGCCCGACGGCGAGCCTTTGAATTTCCTTAAAAAGTCTGGGAAATACGGGCACCCCGGGGGCATGCTCTCCACCACCGGCGTCTGGTCCTCGTTGTCGGTCTCCCTGTGGTAAAAGTAGTTGAAGTTGGACACTATGACCGGCACCGGGAGCGCGATGGTTAACACGCCCGCGATGGCGCACAGGGAGCCCACTATCTTCCCCCCCACGGTGATGGGCTTCATGTCACCGTAGCCCACCGTCGTCATGGTCACCACGGCCCACCAAAACGCGTCGGGGATGCTCGTGAACTGCGACGTGGGCTCGTCCGCCTCGGCGAAGTACACCGCGCTGGAGAACAGGATGACACCGATGACCAGGAAGAATATGAGGAGGGCCAGCTCCCTCATGCTGGCGCGCAGGGTATGACCCAGGATCTGCAGCCCCTTGGAGTGCCTGGACAGCTTGAAGATGCGAAACACCCTGACAAGGCGGATTATTCTCAGGATGGCAAAGCTCATCGCCTGCTGCCCGTTGCCTTGGTGCTGCGCCAGGTCCGTGCCGAGAGTTATGAAATAAGGCAAAATGGATACAATGTCTATTGAGTTCATAATGTTTTTAAAGAAAGCCGGTTTGCTCGGACTCGCAAAGAAGCGGACTATAATCTCAAAGGAGAACCAGATGATGCAAACCGTCTCCACGATGAAAAACGGGTCGTTGAAAGGAGTAAATCCGTGGTCAGGTTGAGTGGAGTTGTGTCGTGGCTGTAGATACTCTTTTTCATCCCTGAACTCTGGCAGCGTCTCCAGGCAGAAAATGACAATAGAAATTACTATAACAAGGACGGACACGACCGCGATGCCCCGGGCAGGGCTCGAGCTCTCCGGATACTCAAAAAGCAGCCAAATTTGGCGCTTGAACTCGTCCTCCGGGAGAGGCTTCTCCTCCTCTTTGACAAAACCCTCATCTTCCCGAAACTTGAGGATCGCCTCTTCCCCGAGTTCATAAAACTTCACCTCCTCGGAGAAGATGTCAAACGGGACGTTGACGGGTCTTTTCAACCGCCCCCCTGACTGGTAATAGTAAAGAATGGCGTCAAAGCTCGGTCGGTTCCGATCGAAGAAGTATTCGTTCCTCAGCGGGTCGAAGTACCTGATTCGCTTGTCGGGGTCTCCCAGGAGAGTGTCCGGGAACTGAGTGAGAGTCTTGAGCTGAGTTTCAAACTTGAGTCCCGACACGTTGATGACAACTCTCTCACAGCAGCCGCACTCGCTGTAAACATTTTCGTATCCGGACTGAGGGCGCCTGTCAGTGAGCGACACGGTCTCCTCCTCATCATCCATGTTACACAGAAAACTCGACCTCTTGCTTCCCCGGTCCCCCTCCTCCTCCTCCTCCTCTTCCTCCGCTCCCTCGGCCTCTTCCTCCTCTATCATGATGTCCTCCTCGGATCCGAGCAGCGCCAGCTCCGAGTGGCGCAGGTCCCCGCCGAGAGTCGTCCGGTTGCGTCTCCACCGTCCGACGCCGCGCTGCTTTTTCCGCTCTCTGACAACTCTCTGCTGCTGCTGCTGCTGCTGCTGCTGCTCGGGCTCCTGCTGGTGCTGTGGCGGCTGCGAGGAGGTGGAGGAGGAGGAGGGGCGCGAGGCGGTACCGCCGCTGCTGATGTTGGCGTTCGCTGAGGAGGCGGCGCGAGACTGATGCTGGCGGTTGTTAAGGAGATGAGCGCTCGAGGAGAAGGTGGAGGTGGAGCCCCCCACGCCGCCGCCGCAGCCGCCGCCACCACTGCCGCTGCCGCTGCCACCACCGCCGCTACCGCTACCGCTGCCGCCTCCTCCTCCTCCTCCCTCCGCACCGGACCCACCTTCGGCAGCGGCCGCGGCAGCCGCCGCTCTCGAATGGGCAGCCTGGCGCTCCCTCTCGCGCTCCCTCTCCCGTGCGCGAGCTTGGGCATATCCGTACGGCAGGTGACTATTGCACCCGCCGTCCGCACCCACCATGGCAAACTCCATTTTAAGTCAATGAGAGGTTCGGTCCGTGAGCGCTACAGTAACCGCCTCAGGGCGACGTGGATGCAGGCCAGAGGATAAAAGTTGCAGCTCGGCGCGCGCACACAGAGAAAATGAGGCATCAACCAATCAGTTGTGAATATGAGAATGTCAGAGCAACAAACGCACCTCAATTAAGTCCATGCTGAGAGCAGTCCATGTGGCTACTTACATGATAGGAGATATTGATCAGCCTGTCTTCCCGCTCAGGCACAGGCCTCCAAATATTTTATGACATCATTACCATAACCAAAAAATGTGAGGGCCGGTGGCATAGCCTGTTACGCAGGCGCTCTGTGTCAAACTTGCAGCGCCCTTTATTTGTTCAGCATTATAAATCACCAAGTCAACAAGCTACAACTGAAACAGTCTCTCCTCGGTGTCTCCGGTGCCCATCAGGTGGTTAAATCCTCCACGACCGCGGCTTCTTGCGCCCAAATGCGTCTTTTGATCCTCCGTGGTCACTCCTGGTTGCCATTTTATGTGATGAGAGGAAAAAAACTGGATCTTTTGCTGTTATATTTCGGAGCTCCGGTGAATGTGAAGGACTTCACCCCGCTGACGCTCTCTGGAGCTGCGAGGAAAACACAAGAGAAGAGACAACAGCAGTTGGTTTAGGCAGAAAAAAATATTCATATTGATGTCCGTTGTTTTGGCGACTGCATAGTCCAGGATAATACGCATCTTTTGCGATATAAGGGCGGTAAAACTTCACAGGCATATTATTATTATTGTTGTTGTTATTATCAGGCCTACTATTATTATTATTATGTAGTGAAGGTGGAGGTAGACTCACGGAAACGAATGCAGGAAGACATTTATGTTCACAACAGACATTACGCATGAAATTTCCTGCCCATTAAAACAGCCTCGCTTCATTCTGACATTCATACTTACATGTGAAAAGGGGCCAAACGAGATCGCCTCAGCCCCCCTACAAATAAATCTGCTGGAGGATGAGGGGGAGGTAGGCTAGGTGAGGATGCAGCTCTTCGCTTCTGCCCAAATTTCGGTATTGATTTAGGGGGGTAATATCACAAATCCCTCGTCGTATCCAACCAGCGAGCATATCATCCACTATATACATCCGTGCTCTGACGCACTCCGAGGAGGACACTTTTTGGCTGCGTCTCGACGTCTTGTCTCAATTCAACAGGATCTATCGCCACTTCAGCCCCCGTTTCTGCTGCATCGCTCCTGCTATACTGGCAGCAATTATCACTGAAGAGAAAAAAGAAAAAGAGAAGCAGGTGTGCGAGCGGCGAGTTGGCATCAATGACAGCTCCGCACGGTCACGGCGAGAAGACGCGATGGTGGGTAAAAGTTTACCTTCACGCAGGCGAGGGGAAATGGCCCCATGGTTGAGTCTGAGCATCACACATCTGTCTGTCTGCCGCTGTAGCCCTACCTATACTCCGGTATCCCTCCCATTGTGTGTGTGTGTGTGTGTGTGTGTGTGTGTGTGTGCGCGTGTGTGTGTGTGATGATGGAGAGCCTCGGTGAGAAAGTCGTTCATGTACCGCAGCGCGTGCAGGCGGTGCTCGGTCCTCCCCCAGTGGATGCAGCCGGTCACTGCGCACTGTGCTGCAGTCTCACACCCGAGCCTCCTCTGCCCTTCATCACGACTGCTGGGTGGCAACCGGTGTCCTTACCCCCGAAAAAGTAACGCATTATTCTCCATGCATTCCTCAAGTAACGTAGATACATATGACTCGCTGAGGCTGGAGCTTTAAACGCAGCTGCACTTGCAGTTTTCAGTTGAATCCGCCCTCCAGCCCACCCTCCTGTTTTTGTCCTGCTTTATCTTTAGAAATGATTTTGGAAGGAGATGCATGCACATTTTAGTAATGCACAGAGGTTTCATTATTCATTATTCATCAGTCATCATTAAAACTGTTTGCGATTAATTCATTTTTTGTTTTATTCTGACAACATGCACATCTCCGCTACAAACAAACAGTTGCTGTTTTTTTCTAGAACTCTTTCTTCTACAGTTGTACTTAGAAGTGGTGGAAGTGAAATGTTACAGCGTACCCCATGGGTGGGGTTAAGTGTAACAGGCAGAGAGTGAGTGATAACACTTCCTGGAAAAGTCTGTTTAACACATTTAATTCAATACAATTCTATCTATACACCAAAGGTCTCCATCCACCTGTTAGTCTACCATCCATATTCAATGGTTGGACTGATAGATGTACATAGATTTAGTAACCTAGATCCACATGTCAAAATATGAGTATTGAATGTATGAATATTGACGAGACTGTAAAACTGTGTCAATAAGAGACCTACAAATTAGATTTCAAAGCATATCTTATCTAATTAAGGACATTAGTTCAAACTTAAAATAATTTCGAAAGGCAAAAATAGAGAAACTGTGCTATAGGCAGTGTTGGACTTGTTACTCTGAAAATGTAATATATTACTCATTAGTCTTTACCCTTTTCAAAAGTAATTATATTACTTTACTTATTACTCCCTGCCAACAGTGATTCGTTACACTACTCGTTATATTACTTTTCCGTTACCCCATGAATTCTGTAATTGTGCTTCTCCCCAAAATTCAGGTGTGTGCCTCTGTGTGAATGTCAGGGTAATTGCCAGTAAGTGTAGCTAAGGATAGATAGCTTCTATTTACCTGGGGGTCTTCAGTTGCCTGTGACCAGTGTTTTCCCAAAGTTCTGCCTGAAAGATGGAGAGTTACTGATAAAGCAACATTTCATCCACATATCCAGCCACAAGCTTCACTACTTCTTTATAGCTGCAGCTGTACACACGTAAAATCCAGTTTTGGTTGTCTAGCCAGTTCAGGGCTACAGCTGACCTCTGCGAGCAAGGAGGGCTCACCTTTGGTGGGGTGTATATCCTGGAGCTTCACGTTGTTGTGTTGTCGGTTGTAGTAGCCGAGGTGTTTCAGACCGGAGGTTTGAGGACGTGTTTTTCACACGAGTTTTAGTCTTGTCATCTTTCCTCCCGACAAAATTACAGTAATGGGAATATTTCCAACTGCTAAGGTTAACGTTTCCAACTAATTTGCTGCTGTAGACGTGCATGCACAGCGTGACTATTACTAAAATGAGTCCGCTGATGTGACTGTTGTATTTCAAGTCCGTGGCAATGTCATAACAAAAGTAATGTTGTAACGAGTTGTTTGGTTTTAGAGTAACTGTAATATTATCACTGAAATTTCATTAGTAATTAGTTACATTGCTCATTACTGGAAAAAGTAATTTTATTACTGTAGCGTGTTACAGCCCAACACTGGCTTTAGAAGGCTGGTGTTACAACTAACCCCGCTGTGTGGAAATTTTATCTAGCCTAGCTAAGGAGTTGGTTACAAATTTCAAAATGGTGCTCTGTTTTAGGCAACAAGACCGTTGTTAAGCTGATATACGGGTGGATTTGGTGACTAGACAGCTCAGTGATCAAAAAAACAAGTATGACATGGAAATTTACTTAAATTGGCCAAAAACACTCTTTGTTACTGAACTCAGCTGAAACACCTCCAATCTCTGTGGAACTTTGTGGGTCACTGTTTGGTGGTATTGTGGTCAACTGGCCGGAAGCACGAAAGGATCGACCCTGTGTAACCGCATAAAAAAGTCTGTGTCACAATTTACCCCGCGTAGGGAGCCCGGTCTCACTCCGAAGTCGTCGAAATCCATCACTTGGGCAGTGACTTGCAGCATCAGAAACCATCAAAAAAAGGCGTCCTTTGACGTCGGCATGATTTGAGCCGATTGCCATTATAGTTTAACGGCAACCAGCGGTGTCAGGGGGAAACGCAGCAGGACAAGGACGAAAGTTAAGGCAGCAAAAGTCCAAGACCAAATGTCAATATGTGACAAGGTCATAGGGAGAATGTGTTGCGTAAGGTTGAGCTCTGTTTTACAAACATTCAGAAATCTCAATCTGCAGTTTCCCCTGTGAGTAAGCAGGACAACTAAACATCATCAGTGCCCACTGTTTCTGCCACCCCTTTCATTTCTGGCTAAGTAAACAGAGCACTCAAAGTGAATGCCGCCCGTTTTAGAGGTGAATTAATTTATTTGTTCATTATCTTTTTTACTCTGTCCCAGAACAGATCAGTCAATAGGAACCAGACAGAAAACCACCAAATTCGTCTCCATGCTGCAGATGTAAAATCAGCAGCTGCTCAGACAAGTAAAGAGTGCTACATCCCAGTGCAATACAACTAAACTGTCTACCATAGAGGGAATTTGCTGTCGACTAATCCTCAGCAGTATAAAACATGCAAAAAAAACATCACGCACAAGACCAACAAGTGTTATTGATATGCAAACTACATCTCTGGAAAATTCTGCATAAAAATGCCCCTCAGTGGTGTCGCAGAGGAACAGTGATGCTATAAACCAAAAGGAAGCACCATATGTTGCTTCACTTCACTGATGCTTCACTTTAAAAAGCACAATTTCTGATCCTGAGAGCCCACCCCCACCCACCCCTCCTCCTCCTCCTCCTCCTCCTCCTCCAGCACCACCACCACCACTACCAAATGTCAGAACAGAGAAATAAGATCTGTTAACAGAGTTTAGCAGTTAATCATGATTTCTAATCTGTTTCTTTATATAATTAATCTTAATGTAAACACAGACATAAGAGTGGTTTATATTTTCAGTCGTCAGACTCAAAATGCAGATTAATAATCACCAATACAAATGTATAAATGACTTAAGTACACATTAAATTATGTGGAAAATTATTTCTGTTTGAAAACAGAAGTCAAAGAAGTGTTGTTTTATGAGTGACTGCAACATTTTCGTGTCACAACTGAATACTCTGAGGTTCCATTCAGGTATACACACAAAAACTTTGGGCTCCGTACAACAGTTCAATCAGGAGACACAGAAGAATGAAGTAAAGATAATATTTAATACAGAATATGAGTGTAGAGATTAACAGATGATTTGTGCTGATTAAGATTTTACAGAAGTCTTTGGTGCTTGGACACCAGAGGAGGGATAGTTTGTGATCAAGGGACATCTGAGCAGCAGCAGGATAAATCCCCCCGTGAAGTCCCGGCATTGGTGGTGATGGTGGCTGATGACTCTGAGACGTATGAGGCTGATGAATTCGATAAGGCTAGGTGGTGTTGGGGAGGTGGAGGGCATGCACGACAGCAGCAAGGCAGAACTACAGCAGAGAAAGAACTATATTTAAAATGAGGAGCAGTAAGATGATCGACTGACAGAGAAGGTGTGTCGCTGTGCTGTTGGTTGATTTGGAATCAGCTGATGACTCAATTTACCTACCCAGACAATGACACCTAGAGATAGTGAGTGAGCATGTGTGCAAGGAGTGAATGGCAGGGACTGAGCATGAAAAGTGTTGTCTTCCTGACTGAACTTTCGCTAGCACTTCATTAGGTGGCTCATATTCAATGTTACCATGTTTTCCTCTCATCCGCATTCCAACAACAAACAAATGTCATTTCTAATAGACAGAGTTGTGTGACAGACATCTATCCACACAACACACTCGCCAGAAAACATCCTGGCATTTTATGTCTGCAAACCACTGATACTTTACATTTGGACCTTATTTTGTAGTCGATACGCTTCAACTTTACATTTCAACAACGCTGTGTTAGGTTTAAGCACAAAAACCACTTGATTATGGTTTGGAAAACATTATATTTTGGTTTTAAGTATCCTGTTTTGGGGGGCACACACCCCTGGAATGCAGTGATGTCTCTGTAAAAAAAGACTTGCTTTCTGTGCCACTCTCTCTGCAGGAAAAGCAGTAATGTCTCGGCAGAAAACAACCGCTGTGTGTGCCTAAAAAGCCGTTAGAAACACTGCAGTGTTCTGCAGCTTGGCAGACTTCTCGCCCAGGTGTCACTCCATCCACCATCCCCTTCACCTCCTGATGACAAAGTCATATACTACATCGATTTAGAAAGGTTGATATGATACATATGAAACCTGGAAATGTCACATATTTGTTGTTTGCAGAAGTGTACAGTGCCAACATTTCCTCCTGGCGCCTGGACTGATCCTCAGGTCAGACACATAGATTCACATTGATCCTGTTTGTTCCACTTTGTCTCTGTTGTATCATATTTGAGGAAGTTGCAGAGGTTTGCAGGTTTCAGCCAAACCCTGTTTAAAAACAAGAGAGGGGGAATAAAAGTATAAAACATTCATAAATCTGTACTTGAGGATAACAGCAAGCCTTTAAGTGACACTTGAGCAGCCCTCTGCCATCATCAGGTTCCTGGTAAAAACCTCAACAGCAGAAGCAACAATGTGTTTGTGCCCTGACAAAAATGTGATGAGCATAGAGTACAATACTTTCAGAAACTTATCTTTCCAGTTTGAATCATATAATTTAAAACCACAATATACAATTAA